TTTCGAGTCCCATCGCCAACACATTCCTGCGCTTGGAGTGGGAATGCGCGGAGACGGCGAAAATTGCAGGGCTCCAAAATGGTGGAACCCAAAGCGTGCCTGGGAGTTACCGCCAACACCCAACGTAGTATTGGGTTGCAAGAACAAGTCTTGCAAACTGGCAAACACCAAATGACATGCATGTACGCAGGTTTGAGGCGCAGAAACTCGCCCATGAACCACAACGGNGAGGCGCAGAAACTCGCCCGTGAACCACAACGGTCTCGGTGTTTTACAACCATGTTACCCTTGATACTCCTTTGTTGCCGCAAGGCATCCTCTCGATTGTTGTTGCCAACCAAACCCACACGTCTTTGCGGAGGCGCACATATTCTCCATGGCGATGCCGTGAGAGTGGGAAAAAAGAAACACCCTTGTGTTCGTTTACTGCCGGCACAGCAGCTTGCCCGTGGACCACAACGATCTCGGCGTTCTTCAATCACATGTTATCCTTCATACTCCTTTGTTGCCTCAAGGCATCCTTTGAATTANGTTGCCAACCAAACCCACACGTCTTTGCGGAGGCGCACATATTCTCCATGGCGATGCCGTGAGAGTGGGAAAAAAAAAACATCCTTGTGTTCGTTTACTGCCGGCACAGCAGCTTGCCCGTGGACCACAACGATCTCGGCGTTCTTCAATCACATGTTATCCTTCATACTCCTTTGTTGCCTCAAGGCATCCTTTGAATTATTGTTGCCAACCAAACTCACACGTCTTTGCATAGTCGCACGTGTCCTCGGTGCTTAACGCTACGAAAAACAATGGTGACTCATGCATCACGGGAGCACACGCCCACACGCTTCCACTTCGATGATTGCACGGAAGCAAGTCCAGCAGTGCATGTGGGTGTTATTGGCCTCCAAACATCTCCTTCTCGAGCTTTGCTTCCATTTGTTCCATGAATTTTACTCTCGTCTGGTCACCCGGCCGCTTGTTTTCCTTCTCTTCCACAATCTGCTCCGAAAATTTCTGGTGGTCGGCGCGCATTTCTTTCTGCAGAGCGTATTCAGCAGCCTTGGTATCGAGGGCAGCAGACTTGCTTTCCTCTTCCTCTTGTTTCAGTCGCCACTCAGATTTCTCCGATCCGCCACGTGGCAGGAGCGGCTCAATATCTAAGAGTGCGGTTTTCATGGCAACGGACGTAGCCTCTGCCACGCTCTGCCTTCCCCCCTTCTTTTTCTGCTTCGTCCCCCGCCTGTTCTGCTCGTAAGCCTCGCGCCCTCCCGCTTGGCGGCCGCCCGGCGCTCGGCACCGCCTGTACAGCCATCGCCCTCTCCGGTTCTGTCGTCCTCTCGCTGAGCGTCCTCCGGGAGGAGATTGTTGCACACTTGGTCAAGCTCGGGGTATTTCTCGACTGCGCAACCGAGAATGTACGTGTCCGTGTCCCCTGTAAAAAAAAAACAAAGCGCAAAGCGCGGACGGGGAGGGTCTGTATGGAGCAATTGGAAAGGTGTTTGGTCTTGCTTCAAAATACACGATAAAAGTTCATGGTGCAGACAATCCTTTTCAATTAAGCCTCAAGGTACTCTCCCTTCTTCCCCTCGCTCCTCGACAAGCTTTTGCTTAGACATGGGTTGTAGCGAAGGGGGGGGTCTTTCTGGCGAGCAGGGCTAGACTCACCCTCAAGGGATGACCGAAACCTTCTTGCTGCTGCGCATCCGCCGCGAGGCGTGCGTGTGGTGGTGGAGTTGGGTCGGCACTGATGGGGTCAGGCGGGAAAATGTAGATGCGCGGGCCTTTCTGGCCGTCGGCGTAGGCAGTGATGCCCATCTCATTTTTGTGCGCGGAGGCAGACACCATCAGAAAGGTGGACGGGCACTACACGGCCCTAGGTTTGCTAGAGGGAGCTGTATTGCCTCAGTAACCTGGCTTCGCCATCAAAGGAGGAGGGAGCAGGTGGCGACGAGCTGAACTAGGCTGGTTGACCATTCGGCGCGAGAATTTTTATTTTTTTCAGACCAAGAACCTTGAGTGCAATGAGGGAGAAAGCGAGGAACGGACTGGGAAGGACAGCAACGAGAGCGTGTACGGACGGAGCAGGTCGAGTGGCGTTTTGCTCGGGCTGACTACAGCGGCGCCGGATGGAGCAATGGCACCGGAGCATGCGGGCGACATCGACCCGTGGCGCACGGACAAACATTTCTATCTGTGTCGTCAATTTTTTTCGTTTTTTTTCTGACTTTCCGTGTTGGTTTTGTGTGATGCCATCGTCACCGGTTTTGTAGAGAGACCCGTCAGAGATGGCGTGGCTAACCCGGGTGCATTGGTTTTGTGCCTGATCGTGGAAGACCCCTTCAATGTGGAACGATTCTTAGCTAGTGTCGATATTTTTCACTGCAGTGCCTACCCAGACGATCGGGAGAGATTCGGGTGATTGTCAATTGCTGCTATGATGGCTTTGGTTGGTTGTTCTTTTTCACTGTACGGCCGCAGACACATTCTGACAGCACTTCAGACAGCAGCTTTGTGCCCCGCCAGCTTCTTGTTCCATGCCTACCATGGTGTTTTTGTACAGACAGCACTTCAGACAGCAGTATGCTGTAGTCGGCAATCTTCCGTTTTGGTATAGAGTGGGACAGGGAGGGGGTGATGCTACTGTAGTCGAACGGTGGGACGGACGTGCAGTTCAGTTTTTGGGCACGCATACGGTGCTGCAGGGATTTTTAGGTGTACCTCTTCGGGCTCTTGGATACCTTTTTCTCGTTATATGTGTGCGTGTTCTTTAGATCCTCAGATGGCTCTAGCACTTTCGTGACGACGGGCTGAGAGTCTTTTGCTAGATGTTGGCATTTAGCAACTGACATACGGTTTAATGTGAAGACAACAACAACAACAACAACAAGGTGGACGTCATCCCGGGAGTACGTTTTACAACAATATCGACAACTCCAAGTGCAATATCAAAACTCCGACCGTAGCAGCACTTACACGCTGAAGTACGATGGGCACAATTGACGCCACGGCCACAAAATCGCCCAAGGTTCCTGGAGAAAACAGGCGCTGTTTTTTACCCAGCCCTACGTCACCCATCTCTTACCTTGGCAAAATGAAAGCCATGGCTGGTTGTTGCCGGGTTCACTCTTCCAGTTGGCATTAGGCGTGTTCCATTTCGCCTTTGCCGCAGATCGCATGGGGGTGATCTTTTCCGCCGAGATGTTAGGTTGCTGGATGATGTTCGCAATGACGTGACTCACTTGTTCGTCGTCCACGATTTTTCTCACCTGAAAAACGTCCACAGCACCCATAGGTCAGGCATACAGCGAGGGAGCGAGGGAAGGGGCAANGATGACGCCCCCCGGACGTGCGAGAAATTGAACTCGATTTCGATACGAAAAAAAAAAAGAACGGGGGGAATGCACCTCTCTTGCGGGAAGGCCCAATGTCGGAAGTTCCCGGCCTGTTATTTTCTTCTGGCATGAAATATTGTCTGGCTATCAGTGCATTCTTTAGAAAAAATTTAGCGCGTTTTCAATGTCTTTCACTATAATAGGCAAAGAAGCAACTTACAGCAGTATCTACAGCAGTATGGTCGTCGGCGTCAGCAACAACTACGTAAGTTACCGGTAGACGTCAACAGCAGGTTGACCCGCTCTTGGGGTTGGATACCTAATGGCATTTTACCTAAAACGATGGCGCGATCGTCCGTGGACGTTATGAGGTGTTGAGTACCATGCCTAAAAATAACTATCAATAAACGACATGTGTTGTCAACATACACTTCGACTGCTGTTTTTGTACAACGTTCTCGTCCGATCCGTACTAATCAACCCCCTACCCCTAGCACGCACATTGTGGCGAGGGTCTCTGAAGCGGTCGGTGACCTCTGGCCACAAATTTTTCCGCGGCCCAACTGCTGAGGTGTCTAGCTCCTGCCGGGTCGCCTGCAAGCGGCTGTTGATGACAAGTGGGCGGATGGAGTCTTCGCACAGGATCCCAACGAGCCGCATCATGCAGTGTGGGCCCTTGCGCTCCGTGATGTTGCCACTCCCTCCGGCGGAACCACCCCCGTCCGGTCCGGCTGCACCACCCGTCGACGAACTTCCGCCGGCAGAATCCTCCAGTTCCGGTTTGTCTTCCTTCTCCATGGCGTCGTAAAGGTCCGCCACACTGTAGTCCACACCCTCGACTGTAACCGGTTCAGTTCTGTCACGTGCTAGGGCGACCATGTTGACAACGCCTCGAAACATAAGCAGCGCACTCGCAGGGATGGCCCCCTCCTCCTCCCCCTCCTCCTGCTCGCTGCCGCGTCCAGATTTGCCTGCGCGAACGCCCGGATATGAGAAAGCGGCCTAAACAATGAATACGCCTTCGCATGAGAGGAAGCCTCAGGTGTACACGCCCAAGTTTGGCAAAACTACATATTCCTAATGACTGTCCTCCACAAAACATCGTTCACCTTACCTTACTTCCTCCGGGCGTGAGAGGACAGATCACCCAAAGATATACCGTATTGGTCAGTGCACCACCGATTGAATATCGTCAAGAAAGCATGCCGTGTGGTACGCTGTGAGTGCTTTCAATATCCTTCCTACTGTGGCAAATAAAACAGCTCTCGAGCATGCCGTATGCCTGCTACTGTGCATACAGGTTGATTTGAAGCGGGCACTACACACACACAGCAGTAATTTTG